CCCAAAAATGACATCCCATATTACCAATTCTGGTTCCCTTTTGGACATGTTTGTGGTTAGAAGCCTGACATAAGGTCTGTGGTTAAAACAAGGCAAAGAGATGTTAACTTTTGGTTCCTGTATATAAAGTACATCAGTAAATACCCCACTTGAGAATGTATGAAGCGTTAACGTGTCTCAAAAACGGCAGTTGCTAACAAGTGGCTAAATGAGATACTAAACATCATCACGTCAACACTACACTGCCTTTAGCTTAGCTTTGGCTGTGCGCAGTCATGCAACCGTGATGTTTGTTTATTGCCTAACATTACCTTTTTACTTCTGACAACTGCATTTATGCCTAAAAATCACAAAGTTGTGTTTATATGTGGAAATTATCCTGCTGAACCAATAATCTTAAGTATCATAAATACAGTATGTGTTTGCCAAACATATTTGTTATGCAATATACCAAAAATCCAATGGGTAAATCACATTTATTTTTGTTGAGGGAGCCCTTGCGATGCTAACTTCCGAGTCGGCCTACACAAATATGTCATCACTGCAACACTTTATGCAGTTTCATCGTAAGGGAAAGGTAATTGAAAGGAGACCAGGCTTCCTAAACTGTTGATAGCTTCATAATTATCAATAGTGAAAACTCTACTAAACCCTACATTTAACTCCTAACACCACAGTTCAAAATATAATTTTCTATGTTACAATCCCTGTTGCCTTCGTTATTACTAATCAAATACATTTTCTGTGTTGGACAGTCTGAATGAGCTTCATTTTGCAGAGTACTGCGTTGTGGTATCTAATCCCTCCAACTCTTGTGTGCATTCAGCAAATGTTCCACTTTGGTTTATTCCACATAGTGCAGGCTTACACCCACAGGCACTGCAGCTGAAAGCAGCGGTCAGACAGCACAGTGGAGAGGTTTCAGATGTGCGTGTTCTGTTTGGTTGTCAGCCTGACCTCAACCTAGTTGCTTTATGGCTGTGTTTACGGGACTTAACCCCTTCCAGGCTGCTGTGCTCTTTGTGTTATTCATATCAGCTGTTGCCACATTTCTTTTCTTCTTTTTCCCACCAAACTCCCCCCACAGCTGGCAGCCTTTGGCCTGAGCCAATTTAGTGTGGCTGGAATGCTTTCCGTGAGTAAGTGAAAGTGAAAGGAGGATTTACGTGTGTTTATTCATTACTAACTGCATGTGTATTACCCATTGGCTATAGATTATGGGCAACATATGCAAGCATTTAGATCAGGTCATTCCAGTGTTTCATAAGTGCTTTGATGTTCAGTGAGTAAAAAACTACTAAATGTATAGTATTTGATTGAATTAAAACATTATTGTGCGGGAAATTCATTGTGGCATATATTCTCGATAGATATGTGCCACTACACTGATCCCTGAGTGGATCAAAGCTCACAGATGTGATTTGTATATGTCACCTGCTGTCTGACAGGATTTTAGCTTTTAGCCTTTGAAATGTCACCAAAAGCCAACTGTCAATTGAGTAATAAAGCATCACAAACATTTCCCTTTTCCTCCTTTAAGGTTTAACCGCCTGGCTGTGGATTCTGTGGACGAAAGCTGTTTCGCACACCTGTCCAAATTGCAAGTGCTGGACATTGGCACAGGAAACACTGACCTCCCCTTTAAAAGAGAGGAGATAGAGGAGGAACTGGAAGCATAAGACACGGTTAGCTGACATTGGACCGCTTAGTGTCAAGGACAGAAACTGATTATAAATAAGGAATTAACCCTTGAATGTAATTCCAGTGCTATTATTGTTTGGAAGTTACATATCTCCGGTGCAGGATACCGGATACAGTTATTTTAGTTTCCTTCTTTTAGGCTGGTTATTATAGCATATCTTTATATCTGAACTTTAAATATTTGTTTTGGACTGTTGACACGCAACATATATTGTCTGATTGTGTTTTTGTGCATTAAAAACAAATACATTACATACAGTAGGTAAATGTCAATTTTCCCATGTGAATGTTTCAGAATCAATACCACAATAAAGTAGTAATTAGTGTTTTTACACCAAGGGTAAAAGATTAGCAGTTTCATTTTTAAACCAAGAAAGCCCTCAGTAATCAAACATCCTTTGACACTCAGTACAAATTATATTGCTGCAATTAAATTTCATTATAATTTAATCTAAAGTGCTTATTTTTCAAAAATATATATATTTTTTATCTTTAAAATGTAAAAAACGACAAATTCCCATTACAAGCATGACGTGAGTTTTCAAATTGCTTAATTTTGACGTATAGACAATGAAAAAGTACATTCTGTTGTCAATGAGAAACAACACCCAAGGGATTCATGAGACACAATGTGTAAGGTCATGAACTGTATAGGTAAATGTACAGGACATGATGCACATATTGCTTAATGAGTTCAGTATTTCTTTGTTGGATGACATTGTCTTTTTTATTAAAAGAATGTAACGTGTTGATTTCCATTTGACCACAATTTGGTGGGACGCTCTCCAAAGACAGACAGAGTAGCCACCCAGAGCATGTTAGCTTGCGCCAGTGGACAATAAGTGTGACATTTCTAACAGAACCCTTGGACTTGTGTTGTTAAATTGTACTTGATGTTACCACCAGTTAACACAGCTGCTGTCAAACCAACCAGGAAGGAATTCTCAAGGACTGTTAATTCAGAGACTAAAGCTTAGCTGGGTGTTCTCACTCCCATCTCGTCAAATACGGCAGGTGGTCAGCAGTGGTGGACGAAGAAGAGTATGTAGTATATTTACCTTGTGTAAAAGAAGCAATACTACATTTTAAAGGTATTTTGTTACGAATAAAAGTACTGCATTCAAAATCTTACTACAAAAGTACTCATCATGCGTAATAGCCTATTTCACAATCTCATTTATATTGAGTTACTATTAAGATTATATCTAATAATAATAATCTAAACCTAAAAAGTATCTAGTAATAAAAAGCTGTCAAATAAATGTAGTGGAGTAAAAAGTGCAGTATAGGCTTCTAAAAAGTATTGTCAGTATACAAAGCAGCATAGACTGAAAATACTCAGGTAAACTACAAATAACTCAAAATTGTACTTTAGTATAGTACTTGTACATGTAAAAGTGCATTTTTACTATCCACCACTGGTGGTCATTGGCCTAGGCATCAAACTATGATGCTCCATTCACCTCTTGAACCACAGTTTTGCATGTCAGCTCTCATCTAGTGGTCGCAATTATTCTGACGAGAGTTAAGTGTGGCGTAATAAGAACGTTAGTTGTGCAGTTAGTTGGATGGTCTTTTACCCAGAAGACCACTTTGTGTTACGTGTAAAGCCAAAAGTCAATGTTGACTTATTTTTACTTACTGAATCCAACCAAATAGTTTAATTAGTTTTCATTCTAAACCTAACCAAGTACTAATGTTAACTTACGGTACAGATGCAATGTACTTACCTAATCATATGTTGTAGATAAATTGATACCGATAAAGGAGAGCATTACAAAATGACACCGTTGGGTCTTGAACAAGGTTGACGAGTTGGAAATGAGAACATTTTGGCTTAGCAGGTTTCCATGATAAATTAATCAAATTATTTATATTTCCAAAGCTATCTTATGTTATTTGTCTTTCTTATCACTAAATAATTGAGTTGAGAGTACTGTTTCAGCATGTTGGGGAAAAGGGACAGATGAAGAGCCAGTGAGGTATCAGAATGACAGCCTTGAATCTTAAATACCAGTAATTTACCTATAATGAAGACAATTATGGATATAATCATGATTTGAAATTGTTCTTTTACAATGTGCTTGTGAATTAAATATTCAAAACACATCTAAAGTTTCAACCCATTCCGCTGCTACTTAAGTTCATTTCTATTTCTTGCTTTTTTAAATGATAGTAAATATTTGTACATGACATTGAAAATACTCATTCTATTACACTCACTATATTACTATGAATACAGTGTCACTTTCACATACAGCAGTATAGTATTTCCACAAATACAGTAATTGAACACAGCAATACATGATTTTAAAAAGGCTGAAGAAGACTGCGTTTCCTAACATTCACCAGAGCATATAATTCATATTTTAGCCGGTTCTCTCACACAGGTCAGTGTAACTGTTCATTTCTCATTTGACTCCAAATATGAGGCTAGTGCTTAAACATTATTTATAATAACAGGAGGCAAAACACATCTCAGTTAACAATCTGTTCTCTTCCCATGAGAAAAATGTTCGTAGCTTTTTCACTCTGAAGTCTCTGACAATTACTGTTCACATAGCTGACAAAATAGTGGATAAAATGACAAAATACATAAAACCTTGCATGTGATTAGAGTAAAATACTATATAGCTTACCCCTCGAGTTAAACTTTGAATCACTTTAGTGCAGAATATTGAGAATTGATATTAACCAACACAGTAGAAAGGTTAATGTTGTTACAGAATATTCAGTGCTGTGTCTCAATTTGGACAATTCCCTTAGTAAACTGTATGTTGTACACAGTGAATACCTACGCAGATTATACATTTTGTCCGTGTATTGTTGGGTCAAATTGAACACTTTCACCATAAGTGATCACTGCTGCTAGCTAGCTAGCAACGTTATAGTCCACAGTAGCAAATCGTTACCGACTGCCCGATTTAACCACTAAAAATAAAGGTGGCATCTGAAGCAAAGAACGAGAACTTGGTCCAGCTTTTTGGAGAAACAGAGATATAAGCTTTATCTCACCCCTCATGTCCAGGGCAAGGCAATAGGCTATCACTGGCTTAAGATATAGACAAGCTAACAGTGTTAGCTAGTAGTCAGACAGAATATCTAGAGTGTAGCTTAATGTGCTTTATGGAAACATGGCTTTAACAGGATATACCTGACAAGAGGGAGTTTCCTGTACAGACTGGGGGGGGGGGGGGGGGGGGGGGGGGTTGGGGCACAATTAGCTTAGGTCCCAATTTGGCCAGTGGCAGCACTGCCTACAGGGATTGAACCGAGAGCTTTACGATGTCTTCATAATGAGTCCGTGTGTTCAACATTTCTTAAGCAGTGTTTAGATACATTTGTATTGCACATTTTAACTTCAATTTCCTATGTATAAAGATATATTTATTTTTATTCTAAAATGGTGCAACTGTCACACAACTTCATTTCTTCCTGAGATAATAACATTAATTCTCATTAACCGGTCAAACTGCAATCGAGGCTGGTTGCACCTCTTCCGTTACGTGGCCAAGATGGCTGTCGTTGATGAGTGTGAGAAGTGTAAACCATTCCAGACTTTTTGACCGTTATGAGTGCACCATCCGGGTACATACAGTAGGCTATTTGGACTGCATATTTGCCTTACTTTTGTAAGGGGGCGCACGTATGCACTCAAAATAGCACATGTATGTACAGAAGTATGCACATTGAGACACAGCACAGGTCATGTTTGATATACTATACATAGTAGCCAAAAATCTAGTCAACCAACAAACGGCCCCGTTGGATTATGTTGAATTACCAGTGGTTGTTTTAGGCTGTTCAAGTGGCTGGAAAGTTTATTAAAATCAGGTGCTCCTGAGGCTGTTTAAATAAATCTCAATTTTGCTCTATTACCTTTCTCACATGACCACAGTCCTCTCTTCCCGGTCATCCCGTCAACCTCACCAGCTTTGTTAAGGCAAAACTAAACAATCAGGGCATCTGATCATTTAGCTCAAACCAGACAGTTGCACTCATGCCTTGTGTCTTATATGCAACCCTGTCTCCTTCAAATTACTTTCTGATACAGGTCAACTGCTTTCTCAATCGCTTTCAAGGGAAAATTCTGGATTACTGTCAAAGATTAACGTATGTTAAAATAATTCAGAGAAAAATAATAAAGCAACAAAAACAATTGGTTATGTTTAGGCAACAGAAAATACTCAGTGGCAATACTTACTACTTGTAAGCCTTCTGCCAATCAGTCATCCGGCTATAATTGTATCCTTTTAGACATGTGTGGGACACTGTCATGATCAGTGTATGAATAGCCAGAATGTTTTGTAATGTCACAGTTACCTTTGAACACACAATTGTCATCAGTTCATTCTTGAGTCCAGGTGGAGGTTTGTCTCTTGGGAAATTCCTACCGGGTGCGATCACAAGAATTAAATGGATGTGAGGTCACAGTTATCTTTGACCCCCACATTCTAATGTACTTAATCCGTGAGTCGTAGTGTGTTCCCAGTTGGATCTCGCACTGATTTCAAAGTAATCTGTGACATGTCAAAAACAAAACTGTTTTACCTTGAAACTTAATTGACAATGCAGTTTAGTTGTATTGGATCGTAGATGTTGGAAACCAGGCTGCCTATATAACATAAACAGCTGGTTGCTTGCACTAGTATAAAATATTATAAACACAGAACAAAAAAATCATAAATTATATAAAATGTAAATATCAAATAGAAATCAGTTTATCAATGCAAGTACTCACACCTGACATCAGAGTCCTGGGGGTTAAGGTGTAGGTCCACACCAAGGACGAGTTTTATGAATAAAATCATAAACATGTTGTCCTTCTGGTATCCATGGTCAGTGTGCTACTTGTCCAGTCACAGAAAGCATTTCACTGCTATACAATTTTCCCACTACGAGGCTTATCTCTTAGTTTCCAGGACATCTTGTCACCCCAATATGATAAGATGCAAGCCGCGTTGTCCTCCCATCGGTAAAGACATCCTTTGCTCCAAAGTTCTGCTCAGCAAATCTACACAGAAAACCGATGAACTCAAGGAGGAACTATACATTGGTCTCGAGACCGTTAATGTCGATGGTGCAGTGCTCTTTGATCTTCTTCAGGTGCCTCGGGGGAATCGGAGGCTTCTTCCTCTCCGCAGGCGGCCGGACGCCCTCCTCCAGCTGCATCAGCCTGGCCACGTCAGAAGGTACGAGCTCGTGTTTGCCTCCTGAAGAAGGGGGCCGGTAGTTACCGTTGTTGTTGTGACAGTTCATCATAGTTGGGGCGTTCAACACGGGCTTGGGCTCACAGATCAGAGGCACCTGGGGGCCGATGGGTTCACAGGAAGGGAAGCACAAATGGAATTAGGAAGTAGAAGAAAAAATGACAGACAAATGTCAGGATGAAAATCTATGCAACATGTCGATAAGAGATGTACAGCTCCTGATGTTGTATAATCTATAAGGACAGTAACTACAGATACAAAAATATCCTTTCATTCTAAATGTCTTCTATAATGGAGTTTGTTTGTTGCATTCTTCAATTTGTTAAAAATAACTAATATGTTCTTTTACATTGTTTTTATCCACTACTAAAACGATGCATGACAAATTGCCACTAACATTATTAAACACTAACTGTGACAACCTCAACAGGAATTATTGATGGCCTTCAAAAGACGGCGCCCCCCATATCAGGCCTACAGTGTCACTGTCAGCACACAACAACTAGCCGTGAAGACGTCAGGCAACTTACTAACTTAAGTTAACGCTAATGTTTAGCAAATGTTTGGACATTCAGATTAAAATAAACCTGCCATTTCATTTGGTTTTCAATTCTCAGAAAGTAGTATTGAGAACACCCCAGGAGCAGCTCGATTAATAACATCCAGTCCATGCTTTTGTTATGAATTACCCGTTAATGAAAATCCATGTTAGGGTCACAATTGGGCAAGTGTCCTAAATAGAGAAGAACTGAAGCCATAATCAAAACTCACCCCATCCCCCTCTTTCATGAAGTCTTTCCTGCAGATGTGTGCCATGATGCCTGTGGCCAGAGCGTCCCCCATTACATTCACCATGGTTCGGAATCTGTCTCTGTAGAAGAGGAAGACATTTGAGAGGATAAGACGAATATAAACCTAAAATATTTTTGACATTTTGACCAAATGAAAAGGAGATGAAGAAGATGGGGCTCATGTGTTTTTTTTATCTCGTATTTATCATTTGGATCTGGAAGTAAGTGAACACACTTGCTACTTACAATGCCCAGTCTACTGCAATGATGAGAGTGATGTCGTCAGTTGGCAACCCAACGGATGTTAGCACTATCACCATGGTGACCAGTCCAGCTTGTGGGATCCCTGCGGCACCAATACTGGCTGCTGTGGCTGTGATACTGGACATTTAAAAAGAAACATGATGTCAACAAAGACATTTTTAATATAATGTATTGTAACAACTGAAGATAAATATTGACCCTAAGACCCTGAATAAAGGTTGAAGGTTGTTGATGAAAGAACAATGCACAACCAAATTCACAAGGATAAGCTTTTTTCTCCAAAACGGTATATCATCACTCCTCTTTTACAAAAGCAATGATCTTTCCACTGTATTTTACCCTCTAATGGAGTTTAACCGAACTATAATTACTGCCTTGCGGTTGTATCACCCCCAACCAGTACATTTGCCGTGTATACAAATCTTATAACTTCATACATGTTATCATGTTAGATATTCGTTTGAAAGCATAGGAATTATGGCAAAAAAAAATGCTATGTTTGTGAAGTCACAATGAATATGTCCTTCGATGGACAACTGTACACAACTCGAAAACCAACAGTTGCGCTTATAAGTACCCCTCCTGGGACATGGAAACCAGAAAGACTGAACTGAACTAAGATGGAAGCGTAAGCTAAAATGAACCCAGGTTAGAGAAATCCATGTTGTCAAGGAAAGTGAACAATAAAGGGAGATCATTTGAACCATACAGTGGTAGGCAGGGGAGAAAGTAAGTCAATATGTTTTTTTAATTGTAATCTTGCCCAAATAGAGGTAGTTGTGTAATCCTAAATATACCTACTGTAAGGGCGTCCCAGGCTAAGAATATAAAGATTTGGAACGTGATTGGTAAGACTCTGCAATTGCATATTGGCTAACAATAAGTTGTTAGCCAATAACCAATAACCCTCTCTCTTTTCCTCCGTACCCAAACCCAAAACGGGGCTACAACGAGCGGATACAGATTCCATCCGACCCGACGTCAGCCCGGAATAGTGGGCGGTGACGCTCCGCCTACATGGGCAACGCTCCACCTATCAGGGGAATGAGAGGTTGCCGTGGCATGGTAACAGCATGGTAACAGCATGGTAACAGCATGGTAACAGCATGGTAACAGCATGGTAACAGCATGGTAACATGACGCTCGTGCCTCAGCTCGTGGTCAGCTGCAGCTCATTTTCCACAGAATCAGCCCCTGCAAAAACAGTGCTGGAATACAGCAAATAGAGCGAAATGAGGCATGGCTAAAATGCATGATCTGTTTGGTATTTTGAAAAAAAAACTTCACAGACATGTTTTATATAGGTATGGCCATAAAATATATTATTCAAATACAGCATGATAGGTCCACTTTAATCATGATTTATGAGGCAAAACCAAGCATTGCTCCTATCGTCCAAAAATATATATTGGGGGTCAACCCTTTACCTAGCCATAGTTTGCCATAACCAATATCTTTCTGCTATGCATTCTATTTATCTGCAACCTACTATTGAGATGTTATGCAAGACATATTTTTGTATCATCACCACCATACTGTGAAATATATTTTAATCACACACAATTCCACACATAGTGGCTTTAAGGGGCAATTCCTACAAATAAATTCACACATTGGCATTTTTGGTGTTGAATGCTGGCTGCTAGGGAAAGTTAATTGGTTTTATTTGTGATTCAACCCTCCTGTATTATCTGTACAGACTAAGCCAATGTTTAATAGAGTGCCCTACTTTCCCTGTGGGCAGTAGCAGACAGCTGGTAGATGAAGCTGCCAGCAGTTACCCATAAGGATACAAAGAAAAGTTTAGCACAAACACTCAGATTCAATCCATTAATCTAATTTATTCTAAATCTTATTTGTTCCTGGATGGAATGAAACATTGAGAATAGCCTTGTGGGAGTATATCTCCATAGCAACTGTTCAACTGATTAGAAGCATCCTCTCTATTGAATGGTAAAGGAGATGAAAGCACACCAGTAGAAACTGTATTGAGGGTAAACTCTGTAAGTGTACATCTGGTATCTGCCGCACATCCAGAGTTTGAGGATGGGATGATCCCAGCACTCATTAGAGCATGATGGTGAGAGATGGCGGGTGGGGGGAGGGGATGGGTTGGGTTCAGAGCTCCAGCGGTGGCGTGACCGGGATATGCGGGTTTATCGTGGCCACATGGCTCTTTTCAGAGAGATAAGCGGATAGCTTCAATCTACAGTTGATATATGGAATTATATAGAAAAATATACAGGGGGGGTTGTTGGACAAAATAATTTCATTAAAACAGAATGTCGGAGTGGTAGTATCAAATATGTTCTTAAAATGTATAAATACATTTTCACTACACAACAGTCATTTGCTGTCAGAATACTTATGTTTCATTAGTATTCATGAAAAGCCAGAAACAGTAGGTGTCATTTCCTTGTATTTCCAACATGCATTACATCTCCACAATATGTTTGTTATTCAGCACAGGATGCAACACAATGAGTATCACTGTTGGCTTTACACTTGTAGCACAGTGGAGCTTTTATCTTGTTTTGCTTGCAAATTGTAATGCTTTTGTGGGCAGATTATCTACGGCGCACTTTATCAAATACCCATGTGTTTTCTGTAATCTGTGCTTCCACTTGTCTCTTCTAGCAGATCACTACTGTTTATTTTGCAACAGCAGGAGAGGAGTCTGCTTTTCCACTGAATCGTATCTCTACTCAGATTAATTTGCTGTTTTTTTGGTTCCCCCATTAACATGTCGTGGCCATCCTGGTCAAGGTTCCAAGTTTACGGTCAGGGAGAATTCTAAATAGTACAACATGAGATGTACAAACCTAGCTTTTTTTAAATTGCCAAGCAACAGTGAATAGCGACCACAATTATTTTATTCACTCAACCCAGAATATTAAAATAATCAGCATGTAAAATTACTCTGTATGCTTTTTACACTATGCTTTAAAATTGACAAAACGTATTAAGTTCCTCTGTTTGGTTGCAGATGAAAGTGTTCTGGAAGCGTAGCGTTGAAGAAAACGAGATAGATAATAAAACATTGTACCAACAGTGAGTTGAAGGGAGCCAAACCACGCAGTTAACATGATGCATTAGAATGCTTTATAAGTTAGACATAAGAAAGACAATTTTGTCAGAGATTATACCCATAACCAATCCACATAAACACATCAATATGCAGCACTTGTCAGATGGTCAAAAACAGTGTCTAAAACGCCCTTCCCACACGCACATTTCCAATAGCACTTGGCAGGGAAATTGTTGTAACTATCTGAAAAAGACAACCCAGCAATCATCATGAAGTGTGTGTGATTGGCCAAGTGTGTTGAAGACAAAAAGCAGGCAGGATTTTGTACTTTCCTCTCAGCACTCTTTCCTCTCGTACAACTACTTCCATCTCCTTTTGTGCACAACATAAGAGTCCTTGAGAACAGACTGTGTTGTTATCATTATGAGTCAGTTAGTGATTCATGTACGTCTTTATACAGTTTTATTTTCCATCTGTGGAAAACGTTGTCCTTAATTATCAATGTGCACTTGTTGTACAGACTAGTTTCAGAGCTTGAGAAACAAAGGTTGGAATGTTGCTTTTATTCCAACCCTCTCGTTCATGTGGATTTCAAATCAGTGTTGATGGGAAACGATTGAGTTTGTGCACAACTGTTATTTCTGTCTGCTGCTGACATTCATCCATATATTCTTCCTCCTGCTTCTACTTTTCCAAAGATCTCTAAAGTAAGCCTCCAGATCAGATAGAATTCTCGGTTTCAGTTTAGATGAGCGCTAAGTTATTCAAACTGTGGGTTGAGATGCTCATCAACAAACTCTGACATGTTTACTGTGAGTTTTTGGATTGCTTCATGAAAGGAAGGACAATTCTGCATCTGGTTGGAAGCTGGGCAAGCTCACCCTGATTTAAAGCTGTTTTTTTCATTGGATGTTGAAGGAATGACTCAAAAAGTCTTCACTGACGCTCATTTCACAGTGTGTCCAAACATCAAGGAACTTCAGATCCATCCACCTTGCCCCGCTCTGTTTAAAAGTAACATTTTTAAACTGGTGAAATATATTTTCCTACATCTGTGCTGCAAAAATATGAGGTCAAATAATCACTGAAAACCCAAATTAAAGTGGATATTTGAAAAGCCATGTATTATGCATAATGTATTTCTGCCATTTGGTGTAAAGGATTCATGAGCGTTGATATCATTGCTTTCAAATCCCAATGATATCTTTACCATGTTAATGGGCTTATAAGCACAGATGGTATAGGCCGGCAGCACGGTCCACTGACCTGATGGTGATGATCTGGCCAAAGTCCAGCTCATAATTGTTAACTTGTGCGATGAATATTGCTGCCACGGCCTCGTAGAGAGCAGTGCCGTCCATGTTGATGGTGGCGCCCACAGGGAGCACGAAGCGGATGATGCGGCGGTCAATGTGGTTGTTCTCTAAGAGGCACTTGAAGGTGATAGGCAATGTGGCAGAGCTGTAGAAGAACAACACAGAGGTGAGAACAAGCAAAGGTCAGGATAGAATCATTACATAACCACTTCAGAATTTCTCCTAGGCATATGTGTAAACAAGTGGTATCACCAGCAAATGCAAATATTCATATAATATAAATAACCAGTGCAAACATTTTAGTATGTTGTAACCCATTCACATACAAGCTTTGGGAGTAATGGATTACATGTAACAGGATTATGTAATCAGGATACAAACAAAGGACACTGTATTCCCTTACAGTTACTTGAAAAAAATACATAATTAGATTAATGGTAAAAAATAAATAAAATAATGATATATTATAGGGAGACAAACTGCCTGAATTTTCTTTTGGGTTTTCGCTTAGGCTTCTTTTATTCTTAACTACTCTGTATGTCAAGCAAATAATATTTTCAAAATGGTCATACTGAATATCTTGGTTTCTTCTTTTCTAAGGGCACATTGTTCTGTTGTCTTACACAATTAACTTAAGTAAGAAACATCTTATTGATATTTATTTTCTCTTTTATTTATTTATTTTGCATTTGATATTGAGGTGATCCAAAAGTAACGTAAAGTAAACAGGTTACACTACTTTTATTTGACTGTGAAACATTTGTTTACAGGTAATTGTAACGGAATAAATGTTGTAACCCTCCCAACCCTGTTGTGTTTTAAAAGTTCAGTCCACTTTTGTCTTCCTTCCAGGCAGCCACTGGTGTCACACACACACACACACACACACACACACACACACACACACACACACACACACACACACACACACACACACACACACACACACACACACACACACACACACACACACACACACACACCACACACACACACACACACACACACACACACACCACACACACACACACACACACACACACACACACACACACACACACACACACACACACACACACACACACACACACACACACACAGCTGCCAGTCTAATCAAATGCGTGGAATGTTCCTCTACATTCCCATGCCTTCCCACACACACACAGATGGTCTCTGATATCCCAAAGTCCCTTTGAGGCTTTTCATGCTTCTGTTCCAGTGAATGGATAAAACAGGAAAGGATAAATGGCATTAGAGCTCTGGATGCATCATTATGATTCACACATGAGAAATAAAAAAAAAACCTCTGTTCTTTTACAATATAAAGAAAAACAAGGTAATTGAGTTTGTTCACCCTGAACATATTTCCTTTACCTGGAAGAGGTTGCCAGTGCGATAAGCAGTGCTTGCAGGATTCCCCGTATGTAAACGATGGGGCTCTTTTTGGTGATGAAGAAGTACATGGCAGGCAGGATGAACAAGCCGTGCAACACCAGACCAAACACCACGGTGACGGCATAGAAACCCAGCTTTTTCCCCATGGCCGACGGATCGCTCATCTCCAGGATCTTACCGGCCACCAGGAACACGATGCCGAACGGGAAGTACCTAAAGAAGAGGTAGCTGAAAGTCAGCAATAATGGCTCTGAGGTCCTTTATATTTATTCAACTGTTAGATTAGTTGGCCAAAAGACAGAAGTCCCAACAACTTAATTAAGAAGTAGAACTATACATTTCAAAGATCGCAAAATTGCAAGGGATCACTCTTTGAGCTCTGAGCCACCTTGTTGGCCCTGGTTTATGATAGAGTTATGGATAGTTTTACCCAGACATAAATGGGCAAATAATTTAACAGAACAAAGCATAAAGCTTTAAGATAAGACATTGTTTCTCTGTGTTTTTCAGAGTTTTTTATCTGATCATTATGAGTGGTGGTTAAATGAAGAAAGAAATGTTACAAAGATCACAGAGCGTCCTTAATTATCCATCTTCCTTAAGTAAATAATAAATATAAAGTATGCCAAAATCATTATTAATGAAATATTAAACGTCTCCTTTTATACTGTTTTCAGGCATATATTATAGGTCTGATATATATAAAAAAACATGTCTATGAAGTGTTTTTCTCAAAATACCAAACAGATCACCCATTCTAGCTGTGCCTCATACCCCTCTATTTCAGCCCTGTAAGAGAAGTGCTGATTCCTGAAGACGAGAGCTCATGCGGGAGAATTCTACGAGATACTCAGCTAAACGCTGCAGTGATTAAACGTGTTCCAAACCACATCAAGTGAAACAGTAGCCCAAATGCTTTTTCTCTTGCGAGTTTACCACAAGGTGAGTAACTTTATTTATCCTGCTTTTTTACACATACTCTCTCCAGTATAGGTTAGCTTTGAGTGTTAGCGATGCTTGCTAATGTAAACAAAGACCATATTACGTACAAAACACGTAGCGCATTGTTTCTGATAGCGACGTTGTATCCACGTTTTTAGAGATGTAAGGAGGAAAAGAGAGAGGGTTTTATTTTTGGACACTTTGTGAGTCTACTGGATACATATTGATGTATAAAAGACATCAAAAAGTGAATTTTACATGATAGCGGACCTTTAACTAAAGCCTGATTTGAAATAGTTTCTTAGGAGTCAAACTTTCCCTGCATATGATATCCATCAGACCACTAAAGCTAATTCAGAATGCTGCAGCCAGACTGGTCTTCAACCTCCCCCAGGTCTCCCACACTACACCACTCCTTCGCTCCCTCCAACGTCTGCCAGTGGATGCAAGAATCTGCTTCAAGACACAGGTGCCGGTCTACCGAGCGGTGAATGGAACAGCCCCTTCCTACATCCAGGCCTTGGTTAAACCATATACTCCAGCACGTGCACTACGCTCGGCGTCAGCTAATCGGCTTGCTACTCCATCACTGCGAGTGGGACCCAGGTACCCCTCAAAAAGAAGCCTGTTTGTTATCCTGGTTCCTAAATGGTGGAATTAACTCCCCATTGACATTAAGTTAGCAGAAACTCCAAATATCTTCCGTCGCAAACTGAAAACGCATCTATTTCAATTGTACCTTGGCAATTAAATTATTGCTGAAAAGAATCACGAGACACTTTTTGAGTTCATTTAGGCCTTGTAACTAATTTGCACTTACAATGGTATGATCTTGCTTGAATAAAGTGAATATATCCTTTTCGTTCGGAGTTTGAATCTTTATGGTTTTTGCACTTGTTGTAAGTCCCTTTGGAAAAAAGCATCAGCTAAGTGATATGTAATGTAATGTATTGTAATGAATATCTGAATCCTGGAAATGTTTATTTGAAGACAATTGAGGTAAATAATATTTGCAAACCTAAGATAGCATCATAAAGCTAGTTATCACTCCTGAGGCAGCTTGTAGGTTTTCTTGAATAGAACATTGAAATGGCTTGACTGATCTACTGTGTGTTCCGACTTCACTGAAGTTTTCAGCAAAACCTAGAACATATTAGACTGAAATGCCTTCTCATACACCCACGTCGCTTATTCATATCTGCTGCCAGTTTACCTTGAATGTTTCTGAAGGACAAACACTTTGGCTTCCTTAATTAAAGTAGTATATTCAAAGAAAATATTACCATATAACTATGGCAACAATTCTAAGGACGGCCTCATTCACGCTCAGGCAGAAGTTCACCAAGGCGCTGCCATTTGGCCCCATCCTTCCCAACATAATACCTGTGAAGATATAAAGGAAAATCTTTAATATGATTGTTCAGAGCTGAAGCTTGAAGCTGAACTTAAAACGAACAATGCCATTTTTTACCCATGGTTGCTGAAAAAATAACAATTCCAAGGACATTCATTCCATCGCTTGTTCCTTCTCGTATGCGGATGAGCACATCAGGGGGGGGAGTCAGGTCAAGGGCAAAGTTCTGGATGTCAGTCCCATTATCGTCCTGGATACCATAGATGAGCGCTCGCCGCGTCGTGGAATCTGATTGGGCCTGGCTCACCGTTGGCTTGGTTTTCACAATGTACTCGCTACTTGTTCGATACTGTTGCCAGGGAAGAGAAACAGAAGCAGAAATATACATTTGCGTTAAATCTACGCCTTTGTGTTGGAAATGTTGTATGTATTATCCAATGTCTCACCTGCTGAAATGTCGCCTGGACCAGATTGGATGGGAACATGTTTCTGCAAGGCAAAGATATTTATTAGTATATTGTCTTCCAAAAGTTGTTTTTATACAATATTGTTCATCAAAACGGATCCAGTTCACTACAAAGCAGAATACCACTCAATAGTTTTACCCTATATTATGTTTACATTTTGGACCCTTTGGTACTATTCAGGTCAAATTGAATTGTACATGATTGGGGTTTAAAAAGCATTACAGAAATGTAAAAACTACATACACAATCCCAGACAAATATTGTCTTTACCCAAAAAGCATAATCGGGCCCCTTTAACAATAAAAGTGTAATTAGTTTTTTGTGATGAAGTTATAGTCTTTATTATTATAGCTATTTAGTTCTAAAGAGTTGGGTTTTATATTTATTCTTAACTATGATTGTTTTTCTTTGTGGCGGGGCATTTTGGCATCTGTACCAAATGTTTTTTTCCAATTCAATGTTCTTAGCAAGCCAAGGCCATGGAGCTTCAGATTGAAAAATATCCTTATATAATTTTTTCTATTTGTTTAATTAAAAACATCCCAAAAGGGTTAAAATAAATGGCAGTGAGTCATAGTTAGCAGGATTCAAGAATAACATCTTGTACTTTTATACAATCTGACAGAATACAGAGCAGGTGAAAAGTGAAACCTTTTTCCTGGTCGCAGTAGACCAATTATTAACCTTTCTACATAAAGAACGTAATGAAACAAATAACAAATACAAAATGAGATTATGATCGTGGTTATGTAATAAACTCAAGTTTACTTATCAATACTAAACCAAAATGTAATTTAATTTAAATTTAAATTATACCTCCTTTGAAAGTCTCGTTTTTAGTCTTACGCATCCGACCTGGAAAACTTTGCAGCCAATCTTATTTGTTACAGTGTACCGTGCACCAGGTCTTATTTATCAACTTTGGTACTTAAAACAGATAAAGTAATTATCGTAGGTGACTTTAATATTCATGTTGACGATGATAAAAATAGCCTTACTGTTGCATTTAACTCTATATTAGATTATGTTGGTTTCCGTCAGAGTGTAAATAAACCAACCCACTGCTATAATCACACTCTCGACCTTGTTCTGACTTATGGTATTGAAATTGAGCAACTATTAGTCGAACCGCATAATCCTGCTTTATCTGACCATTTCTTAGTAACTTTTGAAGTACTGTTACTAGACTACAAAGCATTAGTCAAAAGCTCCTGCAGCAGAAACCTATCTGTTAGTGCTATAGCCAAATTTAAGGAAGAGATTCCCCCAATACTTAACTCGATGGCATGTCTGCATGTAAGGGAGGAAACTTATACAAAATGTACACCACCCCAAATTGATCATGTTGTTGATAGTGCTACAGATGCGCTGCGAATAAAATTAGACTCTGTTGCTCCTTTGAAAAAGAAGAAAATAAAACAACAGATTAGCTTCATGGCATAATGCCGAAACCCGCAAAATAAAGCAAAAGTCGAGACAACTTGAAAGGATATGGCGTTCCACTAAACTTGAAGAATCTCGTTTAATTTGGCATATTACTCTCAATGAATATAAGAATGCACTGCGTAAAGCGAGAGCAGCCTACTACTCTTCATTAATAGATGAGAATAAGAATAATGCAAGATTTCTTTTCAGCACTGTAGCCAGGCTGACAGAGAGCCACAGCTCGATTGAGCCTTCTATTCCCATAGCACTCAGTAGTAATGATTTTATGTGCTTTTTTAATGATAAAATTGTTACTCTTAGAAACAAAACTAATGACCTCTTGCCTTTGACCAGTATAGTGTTATCAACAGCTCCCGGAAACGTAAGTTCTAATATTACACTAGATAGTAAACTAGAATGCTTTTCAGCCATAAACCTTGAACAATTAAATTCAATGATTCTCTCTTCTAAACCATCAACGTGCATGTTAGACCCAATTCCAACTAAGCTGTTGAAGGAAGTTTTTCCATTAATTAGCACTTCTTTATTAAATATTATGAATATGTCTTTATTATCAGGCTATGTTCCACAATCATTCAAAGTAGCAGTGATAAAACCGCTTCTTAAAAAGCACAACCTCGATCCAGAGGTTTTAGCCAACTATAGACCTATTTCTAATCTTCCGTTCCTCTCAAAAATTCTTTAGAAAGCAGTCGCAAAACAGTTGTGTGATTACTTAAAAAACAATGATTTATTTGAAGATTTTCAGTCTGGCTTTAGAACACATCATAGCAGAGAGACAGCTCTGGTTAAAGTCACAAATTACATTCTAATAGCCTCAGACAAGGGACTTTTCTCTATTCTTGTTTTGCTCGATCTCAGTGCTGCATTTGATACTATCGACCATGATATCTTATTGCAAAGACTAGAGCACTTAGTTGGCATGAAGGGAACTCTTTTAGGCTGGTTTAGGTCCTATCTATCTGAACGCTCTCAGTTTGTACATGTCAACGATGAATCTTCCATGCAAACCAAAGTTAGCCATGGAGTGCCACAGGGCTCAGTGCTCGGACCTATTTTGTTCACATTATATACGCTTCCGTTAGGCAATATTATAAGGAATCATTCTGTACATTTTCATTGTTATGCGGATGATACTCAACTATATTTATCAATCAAGCCTGATGAAATTAATCATCTAAATAAAATTCAAGACTGCCTCAAGGACTTAAAAATGTGGATGACCTTAAACTTTTTGATGTTAAACACGACCAAAACTGAAGTTATTGTACTTGGCCCGAAGAATCTACGAAACAAATTATCTAAAGATATACTAACTATGGATGGCATTAATTTGGCCTCCAGTGAGACTGTAAGGAATCGTGGTGTAATATTTGATTAGGATTTATCCTTTAACGCCCACATAAAATCAATTTCAAGAACCGCCTACTTCCATCTACGTAACATTGCAAAAATCAGGCATATCTTGCCTCAAAACGATGCAGAGAAACTAGTCCATGCATTTGTTACTTCAAGGCTGGATTATTGTAACTCTTTATTATCAGGGTGTACCAAGAAGTCAGTTAAGTCGCTTCAGCTGATTCAAAATGCTGCAGCTCGTGTACTAACCAGAGTTAGGAAAAGGGACCACATTACTCCTGTTCTGGCTGCTTTACACTGGCTCCCTATAGAACACAGGATATCATTTTAAATGCTTCTTCTCGCCTACAAAGCCCTTAATGTGCAGGCGCCATCTTACCTTAAATAACTCATTATACCCTACTGTCCTACTAGGGCATTGCGTTCCAAGAATGCAGGGTTGTTGGTTGTTCCTAGAGTCTCTAAAAGTACAATGGGAGCCAGAGCCTTTTCTTATCAAGCTCCACATTTGTGGAATCAGCTTCCAGTTTGTGTTTGGGCGGCAGACACCCTATCCGTTTTTAAGAGTGCGCTTAAGACCTTCCTTTTTGATAAAGCTTATAGTTAGGGCTGATTAGATTCAGCCCCTAGTTTTGCTGATATAGGCTTAGTTTGTCGGGGGACATCTTACTTCTTCCTTCTCTCTGTCTATACCTGTGTACTCTCATGTTCCGATTAACCCAGCTTCCCCAAATGTCTTTCTTTTTGGTGTCTATATACGCCAGGATCCGGAGTCATGGATGATCCTGTTGCTGCGGTCCTGTGTCCTGGATCGCGAGCCCTGGATCTTGAGTCGTGGCTGTGGTCCTGGATCATAAGTCCTGGATGGATATCCTCGTGGATTCATCTTCCTATTATACACACATGCATTTCCAAACATTTGGACTACCTATGTTGCAAATGTAGTATCTTTTCAATTTACACACGGCATCTATTGCACGTCTGTCCGTCCTGGGAGAGGGATCCCTCCTCTGTTGCTCTCCCTAAGGTTTCTCCCATTTTTCCCTTTAAACTGTGGGTTTTCTCTGGAAGTTTTTCCTTGTACGATGTGAGGGTCTAAGGACAGAGGGTGTCGTATTGTCATACTGATATTCTGTACAAACTGTGAAGTCCACTGAGACAAATGTAACATTTGTGATATTGGGCTATATAAATAAACATTGATTGATTGATTGATTGATGTAATACAGAATATGATACATTTACTTTTTTGTCTAAACAAACCAAATCGGACTGAAAATGTCTTGCTGGTCTGTTTGCCTGCAGTTGTGCAATACAGTGTTAACTCAGCACGACTGACCTCAAATCATATTGATATTTACAGTAGAGTCATACTTTGACATTTGTGTGACATTCTACCACATAAGAAAAAACGAGTAGCTGCAATACAATGAAATACATTTTCGCTGATAATACTTTTTCAACCATCAGCGATGCCACAGAACTGACTACTATTACTCACTATAAAGATGTAATTTACATCAACTCAACTGTGCTCTACTAGTGTTCCAAAAGGGTCATAGCATAGCAACTTCTTCTGAGCACCAGCATCTTTTTAAATTAAATGTCCTTAAAAACGTTTTTCAAATCCCACTGCCAATGTTGTGCCCCTCCGAGCACTTTAAATTAGAAATATAAATGTTTTTCAGAAAAGCCCCGGTAACGCCATATGGTCACAGACATAAGTTGTGTACGGCTTATAATACAAAGAACAGAAATACCCAATTTCTGAAATACAACCAACAACCTCCTTTCTATCCCCACACGAACCAAGCACTGAACCTGGGGGGACAGGGCCTTCTCCATCGCTGCCCCCACCCTCTGGAACTCCCTTCCACAACACATCAGAGACTGCACCGACCCCCCCACCTTCAAAATACTGACCAAAACACACCTCTTCAGACTGGCTTTTAATTGTGTTGCTGTTTAATATTTTTTTATATTTCGTTTTATCACCACTGTAAAGCGTCTTCGAGCACCTGAAAAAGCGCTTGGAAGTGAAATGTATTATTATTATTATTGTTGGGGAATAATTTGCCCTGCATGTCCTCCTTCGCCCTCTGACGCAGCTGACCAACCTTGAGCAGCCATTATCTCTCATAAGGAGGGGCTGCCCTAGCATGTTGTTGATGTTACCAGTTTATGACCGGGCAACTCTGAGCCATAAGCGACAACAAC